GTTTGGCGCCCCCGATGCAAGGAAACGCTGTGTATTTTTGGTTTGTTTGGTTTTTTTGGTTTGTGAAGCTACGAAACACTGTGTATTTTTGGTTTTTTGGTTTTTTTGGTTTTGCAAGCCCCCATGCTCGCCGCGGTCGCCCTCCCAGCGCCCCTCTCTCTGCCTCTCAAAACCAAAAAAAACAAAAAAACCAAAAATACACAGTGTTTCGTGGCTTCACAGACCAAAAAAACCACAAAAACCAAAAATACACAGCGTTTCCTTGCACCAGGGGCGCCAACCACTGTGTATTTTTGGTTTTTCTGGTCTGGGGAGGCGGAGAGAGGGGCGCTGGGAGGGCGGCCGCGGCGAGCATGGGGGCTTGCAAAACCAAAAAAACCAAAAAAAACCAAAAATACACAGTGTTTCGTGGCTTCACAGACCAAAAAAACCACAAAAACCAAAAATACACAGCGTTTCCTTGCACCGAGAGCGCCGCGAGGAGGAGGAGGAGGAGGAGGAGGAGGAGGAGGAGGAGCGACGACGATCAAGAATAAGACGAACATGTATGATCATGTGGGGGGGGGCTATATATATATATATATATATATATATATATATATATATATTTCTCTTCCTATATTTTTACGAGCCCAGGCGGAGGGAAAAAAAACCCACCCACCCCCCACCCAAAACTGGACTCCCGGGATCTGGGGCTTTGGGACCCTCCGGACGGGCCTCGAAGCGGCCCCCCGGGCCTCGCAGGGCGTTTTGCCAAGCCCTCCCAGCACACCTAGGGCGATCAGGGGGGTCATCGGAGACGTCCCAGAGACCCCCAAGACAGCACAATAGCGCTCCAAGAGTGACCGACGTGACCTCAAGATGGCCCAAGAGGCCTGCAGGACGGCCCCAAAGAGGCCTCCAAGAGCACTCCCAAGAAGGCCCCGAGAGGCAAAAATCATTGATTTTCTTTCGGTTTTTGGTGAATTGGGGGGCTCTGCTCTTTTCGGCTTCCCGACGCTCCAAGACGGCGGTTCTGGGCGTCCAAAGCCGCCGGGGAGGCTCCAAAATCGTCCCTCAACCATCCGAAAGGGCTTCCAGGCAGTCCAAGAGAGCCCCAAAACGGCACAACACGGGTCCAAGATGGCCCTCAGAGAGCCCCATGGCGGCCCAAGATGGCCCCAAGACACCCTCCGAAGCATTCCAAATCGTGACCCGGTCGTTCAGGGAGACCGCGGTTGGAGGCAGGGTGGCCCGAGGAAGCCCCCAGATGCCCCCAGAATACGCCCAGGAGGCCTCCAGAAGGCCTTAAGGAAGGCCCCCAGAGGCTCTCCAAGGAGGAGCCTCCGCAAAAAAGAGCTGAGGAGGATGGGGAGAATGCGCAGGGTATGGCGAAAATGGAAAAAATAAGCATGGAGGGAGGATGACGAATAACATTATTATAGCGGCGATGCCGGAAAAGGCGACAAGGAGTTGTCGCTAATCTGTCGGCTTGACCTTCCTGCTACTCCGCCTGCATGCCAAACTTCCAGGACCAAGGTGCATGGCGCGAAGCGCCACTGCAGTCTTGTGTGTATATATATGTATGTATATATGGGCCGAGCGGTATCCCCGCCCCCCTAGGATTTGGATGAACGAAGTTCTCTCTCGCGAGCGGCGCCCCCCTCGCCGGGGGCTGGCAAACAAAAAAAACACCATAAAAAAAAACAAAAAAAAGAAATCAAAGACCGAAGGCTGAAATATATATATATATATATATATATATATATATACATATACATATACATATATATATATATATATATATATGTATTCCTTGTGGTGGACCCTGCCTCCCCCCGGCGCCTGAGCCGTTGGCGAGGAAGGCGCGCGCCAGGCCGGGGCCGAGGCCCGCGTACCACGCCCGCACGCCCGCGCGCCGGCGCAGCTCGGCGAGCTGCCCGAGGACGCCGGCCTCGGGACGACGGCGACGACGACGACGACGACGACGACGGCGACGACGGCGGCGACGACGACGACGACGGCGGCGGCGGCGACGACGACGACGACGACGACGACGACGACGACGACGGCGACGACGACGACGACGACGACGACGACGGCGGCGGCGGCAGCAACGGCGGGGGGTCGGGCAGGGGCTCGGGCAAAGGAGGCATGGGTAGAAGAGAGGAGCGACCCTGAGAGCCGGGCGTTGCATGTTTGTTCACAGCGGACGAGCTTGTCTGGTTTCGGCTACGCGCAAGAGTGACCCTAGGCACGAGTGCCCTCTGGTTCGCGGCCCAAGGGGGGCCCCGAGAAGGTCCTAGGCAGGACCCTCCAAAGGACCTCAGACAGCCCAATGTACCCCCAAGGTAGCACCAACATAGCTCAGTATGGCCGCAGAGGCTCCCAGCTGGCCTCTGAGACGGCCTACAAGTGTGTCCAACACAGCCCAGGACTGGCCTAGGACGGCCCCATGCACTCCCCCGCGCGGCCCGAACACCTTTTGAAACGACCACATGACCTCCGAAGAGACACCAGGATGGGCCCACGAGATTCTCAAGACAGCCCCAGGGGGCCCCAAAAACACTCCAAAGGCCCCGCGAAGACCACACGATGGACCCAATTGCTCGGCGACACATGTGTCCAGCATCTCCAGGCCACGCCCCCAACACTCACCCACATTGGAAGATTTACGTGCCTGCTTTGCGGGCTCAATGCCGCGATGGAATGGAATGGCAGGGCTGGCCAGTCAAAGATCATATTCTCGCCGCCCTTCACCTTCATTATTTGTACTACGGCGGCTCTGTTCTCCCCAACTGCCTCCTTCGCCTGAACATTTGCCCCACTGCTTCTTGGAGCCCCCAGGCAGAGCCCACTACACCACAACACAACATAACGAGTGCTGCCGAGAGGTGGGCCCGATACTGAGCAGATGCTCAAGGACATCCAAGTATCCTGCCCGCTCTACCCCTCCCCCATTGCCTCCCCGCCGCCCCTGACAATCACATTGCGGGGCGCTCCTGTGCTCTGCCGTGCTCGCGCAACCCGTGCAGCCGAGAATCATGCTCGTCATGTCAAGTTTGCGGGGGTCGGCGGAATGGCGTGAGCATCTTGAATCGGAAGTTAAGCATGCGACTGCCTTTTTCACAGGCCTTGCATCTCGCGGGCACGCGTAGGAACCACTGTGTGGAGATGGTGACGATGATGTTGAGGGTGCCGATGGTCATCGCGTAGGCATACGAATATTGAGGACGGATACCTCCACATCCCTTGTGATAGATTATGAGGACGAGTTTTCCGTGAACTCTGTGAGGAGGCACTCGAGAGCGCCATGCTACGCCAGCGGGGCACGTATGGATCCTGCTCGCGCATCTGTCCGCTATCGTGCGCGGCGGCACGTCAACACCGAGACCGACGAGGCCTCAAGCTACAGCGGCGATACGAAGCGGCAAACTACTTGCCACACAGTCGTGCTCGCGTGTACTGCAGGACGGGCGGGCACCGAGCTTTGCTGACAGGCCCTGACGTATGGCACTGTATGTGTGTATACATGCTCGCATGCGCACGTGCGTGTTTCGGTGGCCAGGGAGTCCTTACACACATGTACACTGCGCACCTATATCCAGCACCGCGCTTGCAGTGCCTCGGGGTGTGTTCATCAGAACTTCGTGCGACTCGCGACCGCTGCCCACCCACACGATACGAGCTCCAGTGGAGAGCAAGTTCGAGCACCCTGCTGCGGGGCTCTCCTCGGCAAGCATGGCCCACTTCGGTTCACGAAAGCTCCCGAAAGTCCCGTGGAGAGTCCGTCCATATGACTCTGCGACGACCAAATGCCGCGCCACACCAGGGCCGACGACCCGCGGAAAACCAGGGCGGCACATGGACCTCCGATGACGCCTGGAAGACCGCCCAGGACGGCCACAAAGATCCCGAAGGGCTTCTTCAAGACACCCTGGGAGCCGTCCGCGAGGGTTCTTGGAGGGAGGCAGACACAACACAGAAATCGACATAGACACACAGACACAGACACAGACACACACACACACACACACACACACACACACACACAAACATACACACACACACACACTTTTTGGCGTCGAGGCCCTGCGCGCAGCGACAGGGCAGGGAAGTTGGAAAAGCAGCAGACGCGCGCGCGCAGCTAAGTGCGCCCTAGCCCTCAGAGACCGCTTTAAGCTCCCGCAGCCGCCTGCAGCCATAAGCTATCTGGGCATGGATGGCAGGGGGGATGGAGAGAGGACAAGGCTAGAGTGCGGTGGAGGGTGCCATAAGCCATCCGGGACTGGATGGCGGGGGGAGCGAGTAAGCAGCGTGGAGCGACAATGACGCACACACACACACACACACACATACACGCGCACGCACGCACGCACGCACGCACGCACGCACGCACACACAGACAGACAGACATGTCACAGACACACACACACACACACACACAAGTGAGAGTCGCATCTACCTTCCCTCGCACAGTCATGATGCGTAGCCCCTCTGTTTGGGCCACGAGACGCAGTGGCAAGAGCTGCTGGCCGGCTTCAGGACCGCGAACAGTAAGGACCCGATCGGAGAAAAATCAGCATCCAAGCCCACTCGGAAACATGCCCACCTGCACGTGTTTTGCGCCGCCCTCGCGGTCCTGGAGAGGCCTCCCAGAGGCCCCCAAGACAGCACCACCATGGCGCAACATCGGCCCAAGATGGCCCAAGACCGCCGCCAAAAAGATCGGCCCAAGACCAGCTCCAAGCCCTTCCAAGCCCTTCCAAGGGGGCCCCAGATCACTCCCCAGACCACCACAGGACTCCACAACGGGCCCACGACCGACCCCAGACGGCGCCCAGAGACCGAAAAGGCCCCACGTGAGCCCAGGGCCCCCAGAGGCCCCGAAAAGACCCCCCGAGGGGCATCGAGACAAGCAGGCAACGCCACCAACCCTTCATGCCGCAGCGCAGCATTCCCGATCGCGTTAGCGGATGTGCCCGACAGCGCTGCTGGATCTCGTCATGTGACCTTTTTTTGTCTCCGGCTAGCGGTCGTTACCCAGGGGAGGGGCGGGGGGGCGGGCGGGAAAGGTAAGGGTAACGGCGGCCGCGGCTTGCACCCGCCCGGGTGCGTCCGCGCCGCTGGCGCATCAATCGTCTGTGCACACCACAGCATGTAAGGGGGGGGGTCCAGGTCCCCCCCCAATTCCGATCATTAGCGTTACCCCTGTGGGGGTTTCTGGCCCGGGTAACCAGCGTTACCCTGGGGAAGGAATTTAAAAAACAGGGGGCCACATGCGAACCCTACCCCTACCCCCCACGATTTCTGAGGGGGAGGGTGGGGTTCACTTCGTTCGGTTTAAAAAAACTCACCTTCGCCCATCCCTGCACAGCTGCCCGCTCGGTTCCGCCTGGCCTGCATCGCCACATCTCCGCCCTCAGTTGACGGCAAGTATGACGCCGGCTGCGACGGTCCGGCCGCGGTCTCGCAGTACGAGGCGGCTCAGCGAGGTGGCGGGCGCCTTGCCCTCTGGCTTCGGCTCCACGCACACTTTCCGGCTCACCTTGATTTGCACGATTGCGCTGTTGCCCTTCTGCAAGCACTTGGGGCGCTTGTCCTGGGGCTGGCCCTTGACGACCAGCTTCTCCAGCTTGGCCAGCGTGGCCGTCAAGCTTTCGGTGTGGATGTAGCACATCAGCTGCTGCCCCCGCATCAGCGGCATCTCGAGGTCGAACACCAGTATCTGCGCTTGGAACGAGTCCACCACAGGCACTGGGTATCTCGCGTCACATATCGCGCCGCCGATGCACGCAAACTGTGGCTCCACAGGCAGGATGACCGCATCCGCGTAGTCCCCCGTGGCCCCAGACTTGACGGGCCCATCGTGGACCTGCAAACCCTTCACGACCTGGAGTCACGAGCAAGAGGCCCAGAATTAGGAAGCCAGAAGTACGAGAGTCCTCCCAGCGCCTCTGAGAAGGTGTGGGGAGCATGACCTTTAAGAAATCAACTCCTGCAAGAAGACCCCATACATACGTATGTGTGTAAATGAACAGATATACATATATACACACATACATGCACATATACAGTTGTGAATGTTATATATGTATATTACGCACCTCTCCGAAGGAGTAGAGCTCGGAGGCGATTACTTGGTCCCGTTCGCGATGTGCTTGGCCGTTTCGTTTGGGACACCCTCAGAATTCTGGAAATCGGACGCGCCCTACTCCATAAAACGCATTACATGCTCAACATCTTGACGTACAACAATCAAGAACACAGTGGTCTTCAATTATAACCCCAATCAGGGCTATAGGGCTAGGGGGCTAGGGGGCTATAGGGCTATTGAGCTATAGGGCTATAGAGCTGTAGGGCTATAGAGTTTTAGGACTATAGGGCTATTGGGCTATCGGGCTCTAGGGCTCTAGGGCTTAGGACTATACGGCTATAGGGCACCCCCGGGCACCCCCGGGCACCCCCGGGCACGCCTGGGCACCCGGGCACCCGGGCACCCAGGCGCCCGGGCACCCCCAGGCACCCCCCGGGCACCCGGGCCCCGGGCACCCCCGGGCACCCGGGCACCTGGGCGTGCAGCGAAAATCGGCGACAAGCCTAACCTAACCATATGAATCCGCTAGGACTCCTACAGAGACAAGCTCTGATTGGGGAATTGTCAAGCCAGTGACATTACCCAAAAATCGAGCCCATTTTGAAGACGGTTCCTGGCAATAGGCAGCTTCGCCTGAAACGTCCTCCGAAAACCGAGCCCCGACGTACAACACACACACACACACACAGAATACACACAGAACACACACACACACACACACACAAACGATAGACAACATACCAAGCACAGCACAGCACACACACACAACATACACACGCACACAGAGCACAAGCACACTCAGAGAACACACACACACACACACGCACGCACGCACGCACGCACAAGACATATATATGTATATATATATATATATATATCTATATGCATCGAGAGAGAGAGAGAGAGATCACACAACGCACCCAACACACGCAACACACACACACACAAACAAACGCATATACACACAACGCACACGCACACGCACACACACACACACATATACACACACATGCACACACAGCACATAACGACCACACATAACGCGCGTAATACATATCACACATAGAACACACAACGCGCATCATGCGCACACAAGACAATTCACACATAACACACACACACACACACAGAACATCACACACACATACACATTCTGCATATGTGTTTGTATGAGCCTAGACACGCACGTGCCACTAGTCACTGGTGCATATGTACACGTAGACCGATGTATATATATATATATGTATATATGTGTGTATACATTGACATACACACCTCTTCAAGGGAGTAGAGCTCAAAGAAGGTAAGTGCGCCCGGCGTCTTTGATGTTTCTGGCGCCGCTGCGCTAGGGACACCCTAAAAACTCCGAAAACCGGACGCACCCCTGACGCAGATCGTGAGAGACAGGTCCAAAACACACACAGGGGCTTTCACATGTTAACATAAAACATGCAAAACAAAGTGCCATTCAATGATGTTGAGCCCATGTTGTCAGAGCATGGCCGTTTCGCCTGAGACATCCTGCCCAAATCGACGTATTGTCGAGCATGATTCTCAGAGACTGACTGTTTCGCCTGAGACATCTTCTCCAAACCGGGCCCTGTTCGAACCCGACTCCTGTGAAAGTTGCTGTCCCGCTTGAGACATCCTCCCAAAATCCACCTCGGGAGCCCGGAGCGCCAGCCACCAGATTGCTTCAAGACCTGACCTCAAAGGTTCGGTGCTCTTGACCATGATGCTCCGCAAAGCGGTCCTTCCCCGTGACACCTCCTGTCAACACTCAGGCTCTCGTGCCCGCCAGGTTAAGGCAGATCGTGAAGGACACGTTCCGCTCGAGACAGCCTCCCCTGACCCGACTCTCAGAAAAGGTGCCGTTTCGCCCGAGACGTCCTCCCAGAATCGAGCCGATGCAGCCCAGGGGTGCGAGCCACCAGGTTGGAGCTCCCTTGCCGCGCCCCTACCCACCGCACTTCACCCCCCTATCCCCTCCCCCTGCAGCTGCGCGGCTGCAGTGGGTCCTGGGTTCCATGAGTCAGTGCCGGCCACTAGCCCCCCCTTACGATGCACTCGCGCATCATCCCAGGAGCGCCAGCCACCAGATTGCTCCAGGGCTTGGCCTCAAGGGATTTCAATGCTCTCGGCCATGATGCTTGACAAAGCGGTCCTTCCGCTTGGCACCCCTGTCACCATTTAAGGCTTTCGTGCCCGCACGGGCCACTAGCAAGACGTGCTGGACACAAGGGTGCACCTACGGATCCCTGAGTCCTGGGTCCCGTGAGTCCCCGCCCCAGGTGTCCGGAATGCCAGCCACCAGGTCCACGCTAATGATGCACTGCCGACATTGCCCAGGAGTGCCAGCCACCATACCGAGGCTACCGAGCCACGCCCCCGCCCGCAGCAACTCACCTCCTCCCTCTCCTGGAGCTGGTTGGCTGCAGCGGAGCCGAGGGCTACAGTTTGGTCGCGCGGTGCAGCTTTCACATCGATGGCGACGTCACGATCCGCGTGACCAAGGTGCAGCTGCCTGGCCCTTCGCGCCCTGTGTTGGCTGCACCCTGCATCTGTTCTTGTTTGTCTGAGGCTGGGCACGCACGTGCCACTCGACCATTTTGACGGCGGCCCCGTTGCAAGCGGCCAGGGGGCCCGCGCTGCATGGGCTCTGAGAAGATAGAAGCTCGGCCAAGAGTGAGTATCATTCAACTGATCCCCATCCACAGCGGCGTGACCTGGGCCCCACAGGGGTGTATCCCCAACTCGGGGGGTAATTTGGTGGGGGTCTCGAAGGGGATGGGGATGGGGATGGGGATTGGTTAAGCGATACCGAAGGTGAGGGGGAGGACGAGGGCAAATCCGCTCAACATCGGTTCCCGGACCCCTCACGGGGTCGGAACCGACGAACCGACGAGCTTCTCGGGCCGCGCCCAGCCGTGGTGACGAGAGGGCCTCCTCCTCCTCCTCCTCCTCCTCCTCCTCCTGCTCCTCCTCCTCCTCCTCCTCCTCCTCCTCCCCGTTCTGCTGGCCAGAGCCAGCGCTGGGCACCCCCAGCCCCCCCTGCCGGCTCCAACGGCCCCTGGCCCCGGCCCCTCTTGCCCGCCGCCGGCGACCGTCTGCTCGTTGGAGGGCAGCAGCACCACCTTCTGGCCGACCGTCAGCGTGCCCGACTCGATCTTGCCGGACGCGGTGATGTTCGAGCCGCTCTTGTAGAGGTCCGACACCGGCATCCTGAGCGGGCGGCTCGCGTCCGGCCTCGGGGGCGGGGGCAGGCGGTCCAGCGCCTGGATCAGCGTGGGGCCGTCCCACCAGGCGGAGAGCTTGGGCTCCTTCCTCTCCAGCATGTTCTCGCCTGCGTGTCCGCTCAGCGGGATGTACTGCACGCTGGAGGCCTTGAAGCCGCACTCGGGGCCCACGATGAAGGCGTGCAAGACCGCCTTGTACTTCTCGTAGGTGTCCTGGCTCCAGTCGCAGGTGTCCAGCTTGTTGATTGCCACGACCACCTGGCTGATGCCCAGAGAGCGAACGAGCTGCAGGTGCTCCTTGGTCTGCCCGCCGCGGTCGAAACCCGCCTCGAAGTGGGAGACGTCTGCCACCAGCAGGGCCACGTCTGCCTGCACGGCTCCGGCGATCATGTTGGGCACGAAGTCCCGGTGCCCGGGGGCGTCCAGGATCGTGAACCTGCGCCCCTCGGTGGCGAAGTGCTTCACGCAGACGTCGATGGTCACTCCGCGGGCCCGCTCGTCCTCGCCCTCGTCCAGCACCCAGGCGAAGGCGAAGGAGCCCTTGCCGATCTGCTCGGACTCCTTCTTGAGCTTGTGCAGCTGCTTCGTCGACACCACGCCGACCTCGGAGAGCAGGCGGCCCATCAGCGTGGACTTGCCCGCGTCCACGTGGCCCACCACCACGAGGCTGATGCTGGGCCGGGCGTCGTCGCTGGGCTCGGGCCGCGGGCCCGGGGCGCCGGGCTCCTCCTCCGGCGGGGGCGCCGCCCCCTCTGCCGCGCCCGCGCCCTTCGCGGCCTCCCGGGCGCCCTCCTCGCTGGCTCCCGCTGCCTTCTTGGGGGGCTCCCCCCCGGCCGCCGCCCCGCCGCCCGCGCGCGCGGGCGGCTCGAAGCCGCCCGCCGCCGCCGCGGCCTCGGGCGCGGCCGTGCCGCCGCTGCCCCACCGCCCGGCGTCTATCTCCTCGCCGAGGAGCGCCAGGAAGGCGTCCTCCGCCCTGCTCCTGCTCGAGGGGAAGGACGGGGCGAGGCAGGCGCTGCAGGCACAGTCGGCCCGTAATCAGCATAAGGATGCGCGATGAGGATGCAAGGACCTTGGACGCCCACTTCGACGCTTTTCGAGCGGGGCGCGGCCAACGAGAGTGGCCAAGGACGGACCGAGGAGGCAAGGATGCAAGGGTACCGTTGGGAAGGTTGCCCACCCTTTCTATGCGGGCTGACTGTGTGGGCGCGAGCTGCTGGACCCCGAGGGGGGCTGCCGTCCGAGCGGGGACCCCCATCTGACAGCACACACCCAAAGCCACCCCCCCCCTCCCCCCGAATTCCACCCCGAGAAATCTGGGGGTCGCACAGGTGCAGGGGCAGTCAGCATCGAATCGGCAGATCAGACGCGAATCGAGGTGTGCATCGGATCGGGCTGCATCGGCACAAGGTCGAGATCGACTCGGACGGGCTGCGGCAGGGTGCGAAACAGCGCCGCACAGGCATCAGGCCCCAGCGCATCGCCGGCGCACCGACTTCGAATATCGGATCGGGCCCGCCAGACTTGGCACCGAATCGTATCGACAGGACTGACAGGGACACTGCAGGTGTGGGTGCCAGTTGTCAGCCCATGAGGCTCCCGGCCGCTGCGAGCGCGCGGTCCACGCGCCCCGGGTCCACGCCGTCGCCGAGCAGCAGCCGCAGCACCTCGGCGTCGGCGGAGGTCTTCGCCGCCGGCTTGGCGGCGGGCTTGGCCTCCGCGGGGCCCGCCTTGGCCTTCGGGGCCGCGGTGCTCGACGAAGCCTTGGGCGCAGCAGCCGCGGGCCTGGCCGCTGCGGGCTTGGCGGCTGCAGGCTTGGCTGCTGCGGCCTTGCCTTTGGCCTTGGCCTTGGCGTCGGCCGCCTTCGTTGGCTTCGGCTCCGACCAGCCCTCGCCCCAGCCAGCGGAGCCCCAGTCACCACCGCCCCAGTCGCCACCGCCAGAGTCCCACCAGCCATCGTCGCGGTCATCATCGTCATAGGCGACATTCTTGACGCGTCGCGTCGCCATGAGCTCGCTGACACGTCCCTGGAGGGGGCGCCAACGACCTGAGCCGAAATCGAGGCGCAGGAGAGGAGGCCAACGATAGGCTGCAGAAGGTCAAGAAGTGGAGGAAGAGGACCAGGAGAAGGCGAATGGAGAGGGATACCACCAACTGTGGTGGCATGCAAGCCGCCACTCGCTTACTTTCACGTGGCAACATCAGGGTGGGAAAAACAGCTAGGGCTGACACTGATGTCCTCCGGTGAGCAGCTCACGAGCGATCTCTTAATCAGGATGCAGTGACAATGAATTATGGCTCCACGTGCCGATTCTGACCCCACGTGTCCTTGTGACACCGTGCGCACCCAACGCCAGGCTCCTGTTTTCATGCCAACTCCTCGCTAAAACCCGACGGGATAAGACAAGCGGGTCGAGCGGGTGGACCCTAACAGACGGGCCAGGCGAGACAGTTCATTAAGCAGGTGGACTCGAACGGGCGGGTCGGGCGGGACGTTAAAGCGCGCAACTACAGTTGGACCCAGGACAGAAGAACATCCTTCAAGAGCATGAGACCCTCCGACGGCCAAGATGAAGAGCATTCGAGGGTACCCACCCCCAGGATGCACAGGAACATCCGACAAACACAAAGAACGTTAGAGCTTCCTCCGCAAACCGACCTCGATCGTACACCTCGGTCCGACGACTGTATGGCTTTCAAGTACCCGACCTCGTGGACTCGAACGGGCGAGCCGGGCAGGCCAGTTCAGCGGGCGGCTATGGCTCTCAAGCCCCCGACCTGGTGGACACGAACGGACGGGTCGGGCGGGGGCAGGACGTTAAAGCGCGCGGCTACAGTCGGACCTAGGACAGAAGTACATCATTTGAGCAGGGACCGACCGCCCTGGCATTCCTATAGGCCTACCACGAAATGCTCTTAGAACCCAAAAATGTTCTAAGAACGAAGACAATGTTCTTAGAACATACACCCGATGTGTTAAAACAAGACAGTCCCAGCCAGAAGTGTTCTAAGAACATGTCGTGGAAACCACAAAAGGTTCTTAGAACATTGTTTGGTAGGCCTGTGGGCACGCCAGGACGCTTCGCCACTGCTTGAACCCTTCAAGAGCCTGAAACCCTCCGCCGGCCAAGATGAAGAGGACTCGAGGCTGCCTCCCCGCGGGTGCACAAGAACACCCAGCAATCGAACCGACCTCGCTCTTGTACCCTGGTCCGACTGTATGGCCATCAAGCACCCGACCTGGCGGACCCCGGCGGACGGGTCGGGCGGCGAACCCAAACGAGCGGATCGGGCGGGTCTGGCGGGCGGGCCCTAACACGAGCGGATTGGGCGGGCGGGCGGGCGGACCTAAAGAGGGCGCGTCGGGCGGGCGGGGCCCTGCCGGGCGGGCCAGGCAGGACAGTCGAGCGGGCGGCTGTGGCTTTCAACGCAATGGAGCCGACCTGGTGGCCTCGAACGGGCGGGCTGGGCGGGACGTTCAAGCGCGCGGCTACAGATGGCTTTCAAGCACCCGACCCGGCGGACCCTGGCGGACGGGTCGGGCGGCGAACCCTCACGGGCGGGTCGGGCGGTACGTTGAAGCGCGCGGCCATGGCCTTTAAGCACCCGGCCCGGCGGACCCTAACGGACGGGTCGGGCGGGTCTGGCGGGCGGGCCCTAACACGAGCGGATTGGGCGGGCGAACGGGCCAGGCGGGCGGACCTAAAGAGGGCGCGTCGGGCGGGCGGGGCCCTGCCGGGCGGGCCGGGCAGGACAGTCGAGCGGGCGGCTGTGGCTTTCAACGCAATGGAGCCGACCTGGTGGCCTCGAACGGGCGGGCTGGGCGGGACGTGTTAAGGCGCGCGGCTACAGATGGCTTTCAGGCTCCGGCCCAGCGGACCCCCAGGGACGGGCCGGGCGGCGAACCCTCACGGGCGGGTCGGGCGGTAATTACGTCAAAGCGTGCGGCCATGGCCTTTGAGCACCCGGCCCGGCAGACCCTAACGGACGGGTCGGGCGGGTCTGGCGGGCGGGCCCTAACACGAGCGGATTGGGCGGGCGGACCCTGGCAGGCGGGCCAGGCGGGCGGAGCCAAAGGGCGCGTCGGGCGGGCGGGCCCTGCCGGGCGGGTCGCGCGGGCGGGGCATGATTCCTTCTCGGCGGCGAGCGAGGGGGGGAAGTGAGAGGGAGAAGGCCTTCTCGGCAGGCGGCGGGACTTCTCAGAAACCCTCGCGCCGTCTGAGAGGTTCTTTTGCGTCTTCCGGAACGGCTCGGAAAACTTCCGAGCCCTCTGAGGAGGCCCGCCCCTTCTCACTTCCCCCCGGGCTCGCCGCCGACCTTCGTCGATTGTCAGGAAGTCTCGGTCGAGAGCGTGACGCCTGACTTGATTGTGAGGAAGTTCTGGGAGAGAGCACGATTCCAGAGAGGCGAGGACGCCAATCCCGAAAATGCTGCCAGAAACTTCCAGCCAAGAGGACGGGTCGTGCGTAAATTGCAGCGACGTCTGTCGCGACAGCGCCACTCCGAAATTGCGACGAAGTCGCACTTGGAAGCCGTTGCAGTAGCCGGGGGGGGGCCCAATCATACAGCCTGAAGCTCAAGACTTCCCCTCGCAAACATCGGAGTGCGAGCGTCGGGGGGGGGGGGGGCACACTTGAATTGGAAAACCCAGGTGGGGCGAGCGGAGGGGGGGGGGGGGGGGCCCCCCCGAACAGCAAAAGCTCTTCAGGCGTGAGAGCTCAACACGACATGCAGTCGGGGCGTTGACCCAAGGAACCCTAAATGAGGAGCGAGGCCCCTTCTTCCATAAGTTGAAATTTTGATTTTCGATCGAAAACAGAAGGGAAACCTGAGGCAAGCTGTGAAACACTTAAGGAGCGCGGAGCCCCTCCCCAACCAAAAGGGTTCCTTCTTCAGCTAGGGCTCCCAACTTCGCGCTTCGCGCTGCGCGAAGCGCGAAGCGCGAATAACTTCGCGCTCTCGCGCCGCCCTCCCAAAGGGAGAATAGGAGGACGAGGAGGAGGGGGAGGAGAAACGAGGACCGCGAAGCGCGAAGCGCGAATAACTTCGCGCCCTCGGGGGAGCCCTTGTTAAGGAGCGCGGAGCCCCTCCCCAACCAGAAGGGTTCCTTCTTCAGGGCCCCGACTGTAATCACGTCGAGACTGCTGACTCTGCATTGCCCCGCGTGCCGCACGGCACGTGCCACCCCGAGACCTCGGGCCCCGCCCTCCTCCTCCTCCTCCTCCTCCTCCTCCTCCTCCTCCTCCTCCTCCTCCTCCTCCTCCTCCTCCTCCTCCTCATGACCGCACGCCCTGGCGAGGACGACTCTTTTCACGCCAGCTCTGGGGCAAACGCCGACGGGGTTATAGTGTGGATGCCATGGCCACGGACACTCTAGCCATCCTGTCATCGAACTGAAGATGTGCTTAAAGTATGTGCAAAGGCATGATCTAAAAATGTGTCGAGCATGTTTTTTCCCCAAACAGCTTGCTGAACGGGGTGCTGTTGTGATAGAAACTAACTGCGGCCGAGGGAAGTCGGAGCAGAGACATCCTCACAAAAATTTGATGGTCCGGGCAGTTTCGCTTGAGACATCCTCACAACTCTCGTTTCTGAGTTGGCCGGGATTGGCCGTTTCGCCTGAGACATCCTCGAAAAGTTGCGCTCCGGGACGCCGCGCGAGAGGTGGTCCGGGCCGTTTCGCTTGAGACATCCTCGAAACTCTGAGCCCCGAGGTGCCGTGCGACAGGTAGTCCGGGCCGCTTCGCCTGAGACATCCTCGAAACTCTGAGCCCCGAGGTGCCTTGCACGAGGTGGTCCGGCCCGTTTCGCCTGAGACATCCTCGAAACTCTGACCTCGGAGATGCCGCGCGAGAGGTGGTCCAGCCCGTTTCGCCTGAGACATCCTCGAACTTCTGAGCTCTGAGATGCCCTGCGCGAGGTGGTCCGGCCCGTCTCGCCTGAGACATTCGCAACTCTGAGCTCTGAGATGCCGTGCGCAAGGTGGTCCAGCCTGTTTCGCACGAGACATTCTCGCAACTCTGAGCTCTCAGATACCGCGCAAGAGGTGGTCCAGCCTGAGGGCCCAGAAGACCACATGTTGAAGACCACATGTTACATATCCTCCCTGGGACCCTGGGAGCCCGCCTGAGACATCCTCGAACTTATGAGCTCTGAGATGCCCTGCGCGAGGTGGTCCGGCCCGTCTCGCCTGAGACATCCTCGCAACTCTGAGCTCTGAGATGCCGTGCGCAAGGTGGTCTGGCCTGGTTCGCACAAGACATTCTCGCAACTCTGAGCTCCCAGATGCCGCGCAAGAGGTGGTCCAGCCTGGGGGCCCAGAAGACCACATGTTACATATCCCCCCTGGGAGCCCGAGGAGGCCCCAGAGAGCTCCAGGAGGCCGCAGGACGCCCAGGACAGGCCCCAGGGGTCCGCAGGAGATTCCCAGGAGGCTCCCAGGAGTCCCCAGGAGGCCCCCTGTCAGAACGTGTCAAGTTAATACACATCTGGTGTCGATTCAATGATTTTTCCTGCTCTTGTGGCCCCACCTCCATTTTGGGGGGCCCCGACGGCAACATGCTAGATATCCCCCTGGGAGCCCCAAGAGGCTTCAGGAAGCCCCAGGTGAGGTCCAGGAGGCCACAGGAGGCCCAGGAGGAAGCCCCAGGAGCCCCAGGAGGCCCCAGAGAGCTCCAGGAGGCCCAGGAGGAAGCCCCAGGAGGTCCCCAGGAAGCCCCAGGAGGCCCCAGGAGGCCCCCGCAACTCGGAGCTCTGAGACGCCGCGCTCGAGGTGGTCCGGCCCGTTTCGCCTGAGACTTCCTCGCAGCACGTTTCGCCCGAGACACCAGCCCGTCTCGCCTGAGACATCCTTGCAACTCTGAGCTCCCAGATGCCGCGCAAGAGGTGGTCCAGTCTGGGGACCCAGAAGACCACATGTTACATATCCCCCCTGGGACCCTGGGAGCCCCAGGAGGCCCCAGAGAGCTTCAGGAAGCCGCAGGACGCCCAGGACAGGCCCCAGGGGTCCGCAGGAGATTCCCAGGAGGCTCCCAGGAGGCCCCAGGAGG